AGCGTATAACCTCGATTCCATCGCCATCTCTCTTTGCCTCGATTACGTCACACGCGTCACACATATACACATTTTTACATGAAATATTAATTATTTCCCAAATCTAAGTATATTTTCCTATCTTCAACATGATAATGACGATTACAGTCTACGGAAATAAAAAAAATGCTGTCAATTATAATGAATGAGTCAATTTCGGTCTCGACAAAACTATATATACTAACATTAAATACCCAACATTCGCAGTTACTTTCAATATCTTACGTTGGTGTAGAGGCTAAGGACAATGTCTACAACGCGGACGATCCCGGTTCGAATCTCATAACTTTTTTTAATTAAAATCACGTGACAAGGGGGCCCAGGGGTGAGGCGGAGTCACAAGAGGGGCCGATGGGTGATGCGGAGTACTAAGGGGACCGAGGGGCAGAGTTCCATGCTTTCCGATACTAATTCCATTCTGCGTCGATGACGTCACACGTTTCTCTCCTCCACTCACTAAAGTTTCTCTGTGAAATACCAGCGACTCACGACTTCGAAGTGGGCCAGAACATACATTGTTCATCTACTTTCATGGGAATACTTACATCGAATAAAGTATTGCGAAAATTTGTAATCTGAAAAAAGTCTACAGGGATTCGTTGAGTAATTCTTCACTTGATGAATCAGTTTCATTCGTATTGATGTCAACTGGAATTTTTTTTGCTGATGATAGATTTACCCAGTGTTCTGGTTTTCTTTAATTCTCTTAAATATTTCTTCTCCATTCTACAATCTGATTTTTCTCTTAACATCCTCTTTTTTATCTTGAATTCCTAAAAGTGAAGTTGAGCTCTTGTAATATCTTCCATAATCTAGTTCTTTTTATATCAGAAAAAAACCGTTTTCACGAATAACTGACAAAACTTTATTTAATGTAGGTATTTCGTTTTATATGTCAAAAGATTGTACACTTCTTCGTCAATAACCAAACACTTTCTCCCAGTGGATACTTTCGACTCCAAAAAGCTGTTGTTTTCCTTAAGTTCCTAAAGAAATCTAAAAATTGTCGATCTATTGACACCGGTCATACTCGGGCATTTTTGCACTAGTTCCTCCTTACTTTTATTTCGGGCGAGCATTGTATTCTTAAAGAAATATAAACTTGTGACGAACCAAAAAGACAAACATCGTAATTAAAGTATGTAGGCCCGGAGAAGAGTTAAATTGATCAGTTAACTCAAAATCAGCCGCGCCACCAATTAGCTTAATTAAAAGAAAGCCCCGATGCGTTCTGACTGTCCCGTCGATCAAGATAAGAATTGTCGGCATTGATGTAATAGTCATAAAACCTGTCATCGCTAATTTGCTGTCGATAATTAATGGGGTCAGAATCTAGCGACACGCTAGGAAAGTCACGTAGACACCCACGTGTTCAAATTATTGCATCATTATTCGTAGTATAAATATGAGAACGAAATTTTCATTTAATCAGTCCAGTTTGGTCAGTCGAAGTGAAGCCTTCTTTTTTAGTGAAAGTTTACGCGAAATCATTCAAAAATGTTAGTTAGTTCAGTTTGTTAATAATAGTAAAAATGTAAAGTTTACGCGAAATCATTCAAAAATGTTAGTTAGTTCAGTTTGTTAATAATAGTAAAAATGTAATCAGTTCAGTTTGAACCATCAAGTGGAAGCTATCTCCGTCAGTGAAAGTGAAAAATACGCGTAATTAAAATAAAATGTAATCAATTGAAAGTGAAGTTCCATAAATACCAGTGTTATTTCCGAAATAGGCGGAAAGTTTTTCGATCTTGAAATGAACCGACTGTAAAACGCGAGAAATTACGTGTATAAAATTGAAGGAAAGCAATCAGTCCCCGATATCGAAATAGATCAAGCAGGCGTTATCGGTGAATTCCAAAGAAAGGAAAAGATATAGCAATTTATTACCGAAACCGAAGGATGAAGTATTATATTTTACATTTATCCTTATGTGAGTATCATTCTGAAGAAAAAACTGAACTTTTTTTGGCAATTAAGGCGTAATGAGTCTGAATGTCGGGAATAACAATCTCCGAAGATTGATAAAAGGTGCCGTTACTTTTCTCTCGAAAATCTGTTCGAACAATGTCCGTTGTTTATTGATTATGTCTTGAAGAGTTACTGAATCCATTGTTATTATGTGTTATGTCTATACTATGTTTATTGCAAATGATTTATAGAATGATATTTCGGTTTTAACTATGTTCTATACGATGTATGTACTATGATTTGTGTGTAATGTTTTATGAAGAAATCATTGCTGGCCTTGTCGATTGTGTCATATATGGTTTGCGTAACGATATATAGAATGGTTGTTCAATCACATTCGTAATCATTGTGCTATGTGTTATTACTATTTATGTTTTGGTATGATCGGGAACAGGTGAGCAGAATCTCAGATATGATAATAGCATTGAAATCCAATAATTTATGTATGTGACATTGTTATGATTTTTATTGCAATAAAGTTGTGTATTCGTGTATTTACATTGTTATGTCTAGGTATTGATGATTTATTGATATGTGCTCTGAATACATTGATACTCTAAAATTTTAGACAAGTGTATTGGATGCTTGTAAATGATTGGTAAACCTGTCAAATTATTTCTCCTATGCATACAGGGGTGTGTTGAAGAGCAATGATTGTATATTGGTATCGTTTCTGCGCTGAGTTATCAAAATTAAGTAAAATGGCGTACCTGTTGTTTGTAATAAAATTTAGCGAAAGTAATGTTAACGTACACGTTTTTCATTTTAACAGATAATTGTCCCGACAGTATACGTTTAGGTAATTACTATGCGCCTGCTGTCCTTTGTCTCATTTATTTTGCCGTCGTAATATTAAGTTCTTTTTCTCATTTAATAAATGTTTAGAATGTATGTTGACTCGTCATTCAGTTGGTTTATAACAAACATCTCCGGTATACAGCTCCTTTGCCGTAGAGAGGGTAAATTCGAACGTTCCGAGAGTATGAAGTACGGCTGGTTTGGTCCACTGCATAAGATCAGGTAGACGAGGTGGCTCATTCCCTACCTATGGTACATGTCCAAAACACCAAGCTATAGAAAGGCCGCGTCACAAACCTTCATAATAATTGTTTTTTTTCATTTATATTTAATGCTGACAGTTTCGGACGGTTCACGGTTCCCGAACAACTAGGTTCCATGTTGTATAGCTTTTTATTCAACGCGATCTCGAAGTAAACTGAAGAATATCACGACTAACCCCTCTACCATGGCTTTTAAACTTCCAACAGAAAATAATTTAATATTTTCTTTCTGTGCAGTTGTGTCTCTTGACGGTAATAATCAAAGGAATATCTATTTATACCGCCTTCAGAAAAACAATGTTTTTTCAATCCCCTCCAACTAAATACTTATTTGTTGGAGAATGTTTTAACATTCGTCGTAATTTATTTGTTATTTTGTTTGTAATGAATGAAATTTTTTATTAATAAATTTTGTATATTCATTTATTCAATTCGTTGAGAAAAATGATTTGAATGCAGTACGCCTGTGGCACTAATATATAAATATACTGCTGTAGTTTCTCTAATTTCTGGACAGACTATAACAGCTAACGAATTGGAGAAAGCAGAGAAAATTTTGGTAAAGAATTATTGAAGAGTTTGTTTTCCCAGATATATTCAGAATTTGGAATTTGCAAAACCCCTCGATAGACAAGTAATTTGGTTGGTCTCTTTCCGACTATGTAAAAGTTTTTTATTTCTTGGTGGAAGAGCTAATTTGAGAACTTGTATGCAAGAATCCACGAGGCATCCACTGATTTTGTAACACTCCTCAATTTCAAAAATGCAAATTTGATAAAGTAAATTCAAAATTATTGGAAGTTACACCTTTTGCTGATAGGCTGCTCGGATTGATTCAGTGAAGGTGTGCCTAAGTTCAACAAATGATTAATCAATAGTTAATTCAGACTAATTAATCTATTCAATGAACCATGAGTGTACTTGACTTTTTCAGATAGGAGGGAACCAGGTTGCAAAAGTCACAACCAAAGAGAAAAGTAATATGATAATGTAATTTGTATCTAGCTTGGATGATAAGGCAAAATTATTATAGGAAAACAATTAACAACTTCATTTCCTTGTACTTGAGTAATAAGGCTGCAGGCCAAACATATTATGTGATTCAATAACGTGGTTTATTTGTGAATACCGGGGGTGGTTGAGTTTTTGTCGATGGTCCTTATGAAGAGTTACGCTGTACTTAATGGCTGCAGAGACTGTTGACCATCTGATTTGGCTGTATTTCAAGGTTGTGGAGACTTTGTGAACACCTGATTTTTGGCTCACATTAGAGTGTCTCTTTGACCCTGTTAGATATGGGACCTCCTTATGGTATCGGACCTTCACCCAGTATACGGTTTTCTCGATGTGCGAAACAATGAAATGAATCAGAAAAAGTTGTTACAGTGATGGGGGGAATAAATGATATCCTTAGAAACTGAATAATATATTCTGAATTTTATTAAACAAGAATTTCACTAGAAATTTAATTATGTGAAAAAGTTACAAGTGGAATGAATATTCCAAAAGTAATATTTTCCAAAAAAAAGGAATAATAGTTGGTATTGATCAATTTCAAATCAAAATAATCAAAAACAGAATTGACAGCTCATCCAAGGAAATAAATATCAATAGTAAGGTATTAAACAAACATAGGCCATAATCTTACATACATTTTAATATACCTCAAAGGCAATAAATAACAAAATATAGTAATTTCAATCAATGAAGGTTGACAAGTCCTCAATAATAATATGCCAGATAATATTAGATATGAAAATGAATATATGAATGATTAGAATGAAAAATAAGAAATAAAACTTTCTAGGTTTTTTAACCAGCATTATTTATACTTTTATATATTTTTTCAAAAATTTTCAGCAAAAAATAGTTGCTATCAATATGACCATTTCATTAAATTTATACTGATAAATTCACCATTATTTATTTTAGATTGAGAAAGGGGTACAACGGGATAACGTTCCTGATGTTTACTGGTTTAAAGTATCTGCTCTTCATGCTGTCACGGACCTATATGGAGAAAATTCAACACAAGTCCAAGAAGCACACCAACTGTTAAATACAGTAATATTGAAATTAAATTCAGCATTTAACAAAGCCTATGATGGCTTTGCTCTCATCACTGTTGTAACTAGTGATGCTAGCCATACTAGGCGTAGTAGAAGTATTTTGGAAACCACTGAAACCAAATCTGATGTAAGTTATGAAATTCAAAGGAATGATCGAATGTAGTGTTATTCTCTTTTTCAGAAGGAGGAATACAACTTAGCGAGCTACTATAATAAAGATTATCCTGTGATTTTCAATATTATTCTTTGGTTTGGGATAATCATGTTGTTTTCTCTGATTGCCATCTGCTTATTTATCAGCAACATGGATCCTGGTCGTGATTCTATCATTTACCGTATGACAAGTACAAGGATGAAGAAAGAAAATTAGATATTGTCCATTCCAAACTTTATTGAAGTATTACATTGTTATAACTTTTTAAATTTTCCTACTGAAATTTTTTCCGAAAAAATCCAAGGTAAACGCTCACCCGCTCATCTTTAAAAAGTTCAATGGTCTACTAATACAATTTCATTTTTGAAAAACAATGTGGAATTTGTAGTTTAGGTATGTATATATGTAGTTAGTTTTTCTGAGTAATTTGTTTTGAATTGTAAAACAATTTTAAAAACTGTTGATGTGTACAATCGCTACAAAATTAATTTATAAATGTATTAAAGGGGTATTTGTTTCATTTCAAGTGGACTGAGAATATTCTGCAATAATGAAGTGGGTAGATAAATCCTTGCGAGAAAAATATCTGCTGAAAGGCGAATTAAAACTTTAGGCCTGTCAATTGAGATCTGGGCATTTTGACATGGTCCCAATTCAGAGCTCGCTATCTTGATTAAATTATTTATATTGAAGGTTAAAATATACCTGGGAATCAAGTAGTAGTAGTAGTTCTACCATGTAGTTCTGAATCCGTCAAGTTTTACCTATTATATACCCCATAACTACTGTTATAGTTATACCTGTAACACAATTTTAAATAATTTGTAAATTCAATTCTGTCGATGTATGATGTCATGTTCATTTGGTTTTGCAAGCTGTTTATAGTTTATAAAATACATTGTTTATTGTGTGAGTGAGACTTAGGAAGTGGAGTGATTTATCTTGAAGAATTAATTTTTTAAGTTTCTTGTATACCTATGGCATAATTAAAAAGGCCCCCTCTCATAAAGCTAAACATTATTCTTTTGCAAATCCTAAGAAGCTTATCTCATCTGAAGTATAATATATGATTTTATATATCAATAAACATACTGTTTGAACTGTTATTGAACGTGAAATAGAAAACTGGTTGAACTATAAAATCAAACATGAGTTGATATTCTAGTGTTGAATATTAGCAGAAAGAGATTTAAGAAATAATTGAGACTCTCGCCCCTACCCAGAGTCAGGCGACATTGATGAATTCAACTTCACTTGACCTTCAAAAAAGAAACAAAACTCAATTCCATCCTAGTTATCAGGTAAATCAACATACGTATTAGTAAATAAGGTAAAAGTACAAATGCAGTAGAAAATATTCAACAATATACCTATCAATTGAAATTATAAACCTGAAGCAGAGAAACAAACATTTTTATTTGAATAAAATATATTGAATTTCATTAGCTTAGACTTCCATTGTCTAATATGATATTATTTGAAGTCTGAAATAACAAATGAAATAAAAACTAAAAATCCCAAGATTGTTAGTTCCACAGTCGTCTTCGGGTGATGACTGGACTTATTCCTTGGAGTGATGACTATTTATTTATAAGTCATATGAGTGCTTTCACCTATCCTCTCTCTCCGCTTCACCGGGAGATGGTCGTTTGGCAGGAGTTAACCGTTTTCCGCTTTATTATGGGTTTCCATATGTTGCGTATCTTTACGCTAGTTTTCGACAGAATGTGTCGTTGGGCAATAGGGGATAAGGGAAAGCACTTTTATGACCTATAAATAGTCACTTTTTGGAGGAATAACTCGAAGATGATTGTGGATACTAACAATCAAAACTGAAGTAACTTGGCTTGAAATTTTTGGATTTTTAATTTTTATTTAATTTTAATGGTTCAATTTTTTGCTTCATTTATGATTTTTTTCTTAATATAATTGATATTTTCACCTTTTTTTTTTAAATTTTCATTCATTATTTCAGATTTCAAATCATATCATATTAGACATTGGAAGGCGGAACTAATGAAATTCACCATAAAACACTGTCAACCATCTTCAAAAAAAAGTATATTTATACGAAAAATTCAGTTTTGCCTGAATTAAAAGAAAAAATCTCATTCTAGGGGAGATTGGGTGACAGTGAATCATTTTTTTTTAAAGAAATGTTACTCGCAAGTTTATGGCAAAATGATGCATCTCTGAAATTAAATAATAATTTGAATAGATAGATAGAGATATTTATTTGATAATGTTTTGTATAAAATACATTTATGACAAATTAAAAAAACAAATAGGTGCAAGGTACAAAGTTTTCTATAAAATAAAATAAACAGGAAAAGTTCAATATTTAGATATTATCTAAAGTAGAAGTCATTTCATGACGTGTGCTATACAAATTTACAAGGTAAAGACACTTTTTAGAAAAATGAGAGAGTATCCAATGTGACTCGGGAACAGGTCACTTAGGATCAATGCACGGGTGACAGTGAATCGACTGGGGCTTACAGGACCAATTGCAAAAAAATATTTAAAAACCTCAATTTTCATATTATATTTTTATTTGTACTACTAGACAGTCTTTTATGTCAAAATAATCTTATGAAAAATTAGCAATCACTTTTTAATGAACATAAAAATAGGTTTTCATAGACCTGAAATTAACAAATATAAACTCGTTATTTTAACAGTAATACGTGATTAAACTCGAAAATAAACATAAAATTAACATAAATTCGCTTTAGAAAAAATAATTGCAAAAAAACATATAAGTACTTTTTTTTTTGTACTACTAGTCCTATAAACAAAATCAATCACATTTTGATGAACATAAAAATATCTTTTCTTATATCTAACAATTAACAAACATGAAATCGTTTTTTCAACTGAAGTAACTCGAGAACACAGATACAATTAACGCAAATGATATTAGAAAAATCTAGGTCAAAGTTATACAAACACTGTTTTTGAGTTACCGAAACAGTTCGGTTTTGGTAAAATCATCTTAATGTCATCCATGTAAGGCAACCAGAGGAATATCTGACACGATTGGCATGTGAAAATTATTTGGTATTTTGTTAGATCCTCTAAGAAAACTTACTTCAGTCTCATTTTCCAGTTTTCCTATAACTTTGGCTATAAATTCCTTTCCCTTTAACATGGAATTCATCAATAATAAAATCACCTACTTTAGGCAAACTTTGAATTGCAGGCAAGCAGTCAGGATCCACCACTGCATAATCAATCACCTTCTTCATCTTCCAATATTGGTTCTTCTTCAGAATAAAGACTTATATCATCTTCATTTTCACTGGAACTGTCTTGTAAAACTTTTCTTTTCTTTGTTTTTGCAATTGCCTTTCTCTGTTTTCATTTCTTTTCTTCTCTCAGTTGGTGTGTCGGTTGCAATCATTGATTTTCCTTTTCGTCTTGGAGCTCTTCCACATTTACGCGGACCTGCCTTATGTAGCCCTCGAAATTGGAATGGAGTTAAGAATGCTTTTTTACATTTGAGGAGGAGCTACCAGATGCAGTTGCAGTCGGATCCAAAATTGTATAGAAATAGTAATAGATTTATTCGAAATAGATATCCTAATATACATAAATATTATACAAATATATCAGTTACTATTGAACAAAATACAAAACAACTGAAATATATAAGACTTATATATAGTAGAACATTGTGTGTAAAACAAAGCAGTAGTAAATGATGAAGAGATTAATATAGAGAAGAATGATGAACAACTCAATTGGAATAATATTGTGCCCGTAGATATTGAGATAAGCAGCGTTTGAAAAGTTGGAGGGTGTTATTTTGTTTAATTTCATTAGGAAGACCAATCAACCGACAATTTCTGCTACCGCAGTTGTCGGTTGATTTGTCAAACCACCAACACTCACATAAAAACTTGTCGAGTCGACTTGGGTGTCACACCAATAGGTGATTCCACTTATGTTTCGCTTGCGTTTACGCAGCTATTTTCATCAAGTACTTTTCTGGTTTTTCACATTTTGTTTTCAATCGAAGACCGCCTGCCCGGTACTGACGATGCCCAATAGGCTGAAACAGCTGTCTACCGATGGCTCTTAAATTAAAATCAATATGGGAATGATCTTCGCTGGTAAGTATTTCAGAGAGAAACTTTAGTGAGTGGAAGAGAGAAAGGTGTGACGTCATCGACGCAGGATGGAACGAGTATCGTAGCGATTCAAGCATGGAACTCGGTCTCCTTGGGACTCCGCATCACCCCTCGGCCCCCTTGTCTCATTCCAGTCACGTAATTTTAATTAAAAAAAGTTTATAGTTATGAGATTCGAACCTGGCCTCTACACCAACGTAAGATATTGAAAGTAACTGCGAATGATGGATATTTATAGCGTTAGTTTTGTCGGGACCGAAATTGACTCATTCATTATACTTGACAGCATTTTTTTTATTTCCGTTGACTGTAATCACCATTATCATGTTGAAGATAGGAAAATATACTTAGATTTGGGAAAGAATTAATATTTCATGTAAATATGTGTATGCGAGAGACGCGTGTGACGTAATCGAGGCAAAGAGAGATGGAAATGGTATCGAGGTTTTACTGGTTGCTAGCGCAAGCAGGTGTTGCCGGTTGTACAAATAAATCGTTGTGTATGGAGCAATGTAGCGTTGCCGGATACTTAGATTTGGGAAAGAATTAACATTTCATGTAAAGATGTGTATGTGTGTGCAAAAGCGAGAGACGCGTGTGACGAAATCGAGGCAAAGAGAGATTCATCTCTCTGGTATCGATACCATCTTCAGATGGTATCGAGGTTATACTCTGCCATGAAACGATGGAAGACATTAGAAAAAGAGTCAACATCAAACTCCTCACCAAATGGGCTGGTCGCTACGGAGCCAGAGTTCAAAAATTGTTTGATATTCAATGATAATTTGTTGGCAGTCGAACTGAGGAAACTGCAAGTTTATCTAAATAAACCGATACAAGTGGGACAAGCTATCTTAGACTTGGCAAAGACTACTATATACGATTTTCATTATGGCTATACGCGTCATCGATTCGGAGATAATTGTGTAATTCTCTACATCGATACAGATAGCCTGATTTATGAAATATGCAATAAGGATCCTTACGAAATCATACGTCAAGATTGTCACAAATTCTTCGATACTTCGGATTACCCGTCCAATAATCAGTTTAACGTTTCTTTGGTAAATAAAAAGGTTCTCGGGATGATGAAAGATGAGAATAACGCAATTCCGATGACTGATCGAAATTGTATACAACTAGGGTATTGGTGACGGAGGATAGTACCTATTAGAAGCGTCAGCAGTTGGTAAAGAAGGCAAAGGGAGTCAAATCTTCTGTGGTGAAGAATAAAATAAAATTGAGTTCGATGATTATGTGAAGTGCTTAGATAATTGGAAAAATATGAGTGTCACCCAAAATTTGATTCGATCTGATAAACTCAAGTACATTCCATCGCCCAATACAAGCCCTAAAGATGATAAGGGTTATATAAT